CCAATAAAAGTTCGCCAGAAAATACGGAACCTTAACGTTTCGCAGTATGGTTTTGTACGAATCCATTAAGGTTTCGTATTTTGTGACGAAACTTAAAAAGGTTCCGTGGTGAAGGTTCGGAGTGTGTGCCCGCCGACCGATCCTTTTTTGGTTTCGTAGATTTTTAAAAACAATTTTTTTGAACATGTCGACGCATTTGGAAGCTTTGGACACCTACGAAACCTTTTTGATGGGTTTGGTAGAGTACCTTATTTTTCTTCAGTGTACGCGTACCGCAAGTGCATTAATGCACTTAGTAATTTTCTTATTGGTTAATTTCTTTAAATGACTCATATTGGTCATACGATAGGGGTTCTTTATACCTGTTTTTTTTTCAATCCGATAGTTTTGTTTTTAGAATATCTTCGATTTGTTGCGTTCTGGCTGCAACTAGATTTATTTAATAAAAAAAATTGAAACTATATCACAAAAAAAGTTCGAGATGTAGAAAAAGTATTAGAACAGTTACAAAAAAATCTAAGTATTTTGTAAAAACATACAAAAATATTACATAAAATATACTAAAACATTACACTACTGTAAAAAATAAATCTTGACCCTAATAATAATTTTCAATAGCCTTAAAAATATATAATTTCGGTTTTTTCACAAAAAAACTAACATTTTTAAATCTATCTAAAAGAAACCTTATAAATTTTTTTTAATAATTAAATTAATAAAAATTCTCTAGAAACACTTTTTTATTCTTCAAAAAGAGAGGAAAAAAAAGAAAAAGAACTTTTTCAAAATAAAATTTCGTTCAAAATGAGAAGTTTCCAGCTCTATTTATACTTCTTTGTCGCCATTGTTCAAATGCAGACCTCCATATTGGAAACTTACTAATGGTCCGCGTTCGGCACAGAAGATCTCGCTAGTACACGTACGGTACGCATACCGCACGCGGCGTAAGCCGTACCAGTGCGCCGTACGCGTACTAATAGCGAACCTATCGACACGGGTAGTCATTTTTAGCTCAGTTCAAATAATGTAAGAAAAATAACTTAATAGAAGTGATAAATTAGTGTGTGTTCGACAATATACATAGTGTCTAGTAAAAGTGGCTATATGTGAGAAAATGACAGTTTTAAAAACTTGATAAATTTTAAAATGAGTGCGTCATCAATTAAAGCTTGTAATTTGTTTTCTTCTATAATCACAAGAGTATTTGAATGAATATTGAGGTGACTATAGTAACTTTTGATGGGCTATCAAATGGAACATTTATTTTTCCTTCGACTCCTCAAGGTAATGAAAAACATGGTAACGCACTCATGTAACCTACCGATTCGGGAGAAGCCCTTTCGTGATTTTTTTCGAACGATCATTCATCATAGAACTTTGAGATTTTGAGGAGTGATAGAGATCGAGAAGTAGCGTAAGAGTTGGCGGAGACACCAAATTGCTAAAACGCTTCTATAAAGTAATATTGAGATGATCAGGATTAAAAAAGATACTTCTGTTCTTTTTTTATCGCTTTCTTTCTCTGCACATTGCGTATGATAGATTTAAAATATCTTCTACAGACACCATACACTCTTTCGGACCCCAGTGTGTCTTTGTTTTTTTATTTTCTTCTGTTCGAACATCAATATTAGAATATTCAAGGCTTCTTTATAAAAAAAAACACATTTTTCTAATTAGAGGTGCGTTTTTGAGCTCTAGAAAAAAACCAACAGCAGGTAAACTTTAAAAGAGGAAATGAAAGCCTAAACCCGTAGCATAACTAAGCGTACCTTAAAAAGACATTTGTCTAAATGATACTGTGAATAATGGACAGCAAATAGTGTTTATCTGAGTGCGTTACTTGTAATACTTGAGCCATAATTACTGGGCATTGCAGGAAGCTCTAGAGTTGTTTTTCTCATTAAAGACTTTCAACCATCCTCCGTAAACTACAGTAGTTCCGATGAGTCCTTGATACTGGTATTCACAGGACGTTTAGAATTTATCTCGATACTCAAATCAACAACGACGTTTTTTGTTAATGCGTTATGGGCGAGTATTGTTAATTATATATTTTACTGACAAAGTCTGTATCTACCCTCTAGTTTTCGAACCTGCGTGTCAAATGATTACAAAGAAAATGTAGTGAAACAGTGTCCGAAACGTGAGTGCGGCACCTGCGGACAAGCCGTTTAAATATATTATACTTTGGTCACCATTATTGTTGTGTTATTCAATATGAAGAAAAGAAAAAAATTTGATTTATTCAAATTTCGAAGGATAAAAATAACAAATAATTGAACTCAAAATCTTTTCACTGAAATATTCTTATCGGTTAAATGCAAAACTGAATTCATTCTCGTTTATGTCTTATTTAAGAGAATTATGCGCCATTTCGATGTAAATTCGATTAATCCAAATGAATAAACTAAAAGGTAAATTATCGCCACCATCATAGAGATGAGCAGTTATATCTATCGTAAGTTTTTCCATTTCTTTTTCTATCGAACATTTTCGACGGACATTTCTATATGAGTCGTTCCACCGGAAATCTCACACTTCATACAAGAGTATATGCGATCAAACTACAACTTCCAGCATTTGGACCTATCGTTAACTTATTTATATGGTAAAAAAGATCAGCTTCCTAACTCATTGGTACCCTACTTTTTTCTATGTCATGAAATTCCATCAGATCATTTTTTGCTACTTAAGTGCGATCACAAACACAAACTTTACATACGTATATATACATCAATCGTAAACGTAGGAGAAAACGAGAGACTCTTCTCTGGTATACGTTATGTGCAGTTGTGCAACACAGAAAATTTGAAAATAATCTGATCAAACCATAATATGAAATATTATTTTTACGTTCTTTTCAATTATGTAAATATACACTGCAGAAAGAAAGGAGAGTGATTTCCAATTATTTTTTCATTTCTTTATTTGCGACAAACGATTTTCATTAAATACTGGAAAGAGACAAAATGTTCACTAATTTAGATTTGGATATGAAGAACCTTATATTCATTAGACAGATATACATTTCATTTCATCATACTGAATATATGATGTATATTATTTTGGTTAAACTGTACCATATTGCGCAATGTGAAACAAGTAACGCTCGCTCGTTCTCGTAGATACATTGTTCTACAATGCTAGCAAGATTTTTGTTTGTGCACTATAGAAGAACTAACCTTGGATTCCAGTTCCTCAGCTTTTATTACTCTCCATCAGTTCGTATAAAAATTTTTAAAAAAACGATTCTTTGCCTGGAAAAGTTTTTTGTGCAAAAAGTTTCAGAAAACGAACATCAGATTCGAGTTCCTCGACCCAAAAGGCCATTTCGTCAAATTTTTATGAAAACTTCAACAAAATAGCTCCAGATTCGAAGTCTCCGCACCGAAACACCTCTCGAAATATCTTTTCGGGAAAAAAAAATCGATTTTCGATGTTTTTTCGACCCTGCGGACATACAAGCAAGCTAGCAAACAATTTATGTTTTTAAGACTCTTCTATACGAGAAAGAGAATAAACTTTCTTCGACACCATGGTACTGAATAGAAGAGTGATCAACCAGTTGCTTATCTGTGTATGCCGTAATTACATCGTTGCTTTTTGCTATTATTCCCATAACAATAAGAGCCGAACTCAGATATAAAAAGTATTCGTATCCTTTTAGTATGAAATAATATGTATAGGGCTTCTACCGGCGTGCCTACCTTTCAATGCATCATACCTTTAATGTCTATAAGAAGGGAACGTTTTTCTTTCGGTCTATGACTATCGGAGGTGTATACAATTGCAGGTACACATACCCTTAAATAAGTACATATGAACTACGAAAGGTTTTTCACGTAAAGTACATGACAACAGACATGTGATGTTTTTTTACAGGTAAGAAAGCAACATCGATTTATGAAGCCTGTCCAATTACTGTCAAGTCTGTATCAATACGAAAAAGAAAAACAGCATTTTATATTTAGACATGATCAAGTCATATTTTCCCTAGTGAATTTGCGTCGTTTTCTAAATATTATTTGATCATGAGTATATAAACATACAATTTTTTAATCGATTGATTACACAAGATATGGAGCCGACTACGGACGAAATTACCAAAGGAAAAACATGTATGGTCGATATAGAACCACCAGTTGTACAAGAAGTGTTGACCATAAAAGATGCTGATGATAAAATACCTGATGATCCAAACGATAAAAAACTTATTCGAAAACTTGATCGTCATTTAATTCCAACAATGACTTTATTATATCTATTAAGTTATCTTGATCGTGTCAATATTGGTCAAGCTAAATTAGATGGCCTTCTTGAATCATTACATCTTTCGGGTTCTCAATATAATGCATGTTTAAGCGTATTCTTTGTAACTTACGTTCTTTTTGAAATTCCATCAAATTTAGTACTGAAAAAACTTCGACCAAGTCGATGGATACCAATGATTATGATTACTTGGGGAATTATAATGACTCTTATGGGTCTTGTCAATAATTTTGCAAGTCTTATTGCTTGTCGACTCTTATTAGGTGCTGCTGAATCAGGTCTTTTTCCAGGTAATTCGAAATTCAAATTGAAAAATTATGTGAATCTTATACTTTTAATCTTTGTAGGTGCTACGTTTTATTTATCAAGTTGGTATAAACGACGTGAATTATCATGGCGTGTAAGTATATTATTTTCGGCTGCTGCATTAGCTGGTGCATTTGGTGGTATTCTTGCTTATGGCATTAGTCAAATGAAAGGCATAGGTAATCAAGAAGGTTGGCGTTGGATCTTTTATATTGAAGGAATCCTGACTGTTATCGTTGGAATATCGGCCTTCTTTTTAATTGCAGATTTTCCATCAGATCGACCAAAATTTTTAACAGAAGAAGAATGTAATAGAACAATTAATCGTTTGCAAAATGATTCTGGACCAGGTGCTGGTGAACATTTCAGTTGGAAACAAGTCAAAGCAGCATTTTTAGATTGGAAAGTTTATATTTATGGTTTATGTTATATTGGTTTCTTAGTTCCACTCTATTCTCTTGCGCTTTTCTCACCAACAATTGTTCAAGGTCTTGGATTTACAAGTTATCGTGCTCAATTAATGACAGCACCTCCATATGCACTTGCATTTATAACTACAATGACAACAGCATATTTTTCTGATAAATATGCTAAACGAACTATTTTTATGATCTTTTGGGTTTTAATAAGTATGATCGGTTTCATTATACTTATTTGTGTAGAGAATACGAATGTAAAATATTTTGCTATATTTTTAACAATGGGTGGTAATTCACCATGTGTAGCAACATGTATTACCTTTATTTCAGGTAATATTAGTCCACAAACAAAACGTGCCACTGCATTAGCATTTATGTTATCAGTTGGAAATAGCGGTGGAATTATTAGTGGACAAATTTATCGATCAGAGGATGCACCTCGTTTTATTCTTGGCCATGCAGTCAATCTTGGCTTTTGTACCATGGGTTTCATTGCTACTTGTATTCTATTTATAAGTCTTAGATATGAAAACAGACGCCGTGATGCTTTATATGGCTCTGTTGATGATCTCAAACCAGTGGAAACGAAAACGTCGACAGAACCTGTCGATATATTTGGATTGGGTACGGCAGAAGATCGTAAAAAATGGGGTTATGAAAATATGAGTGAACAAGAAATTAGAGATTTAGGAGATAAACATGCTGCTTGGCGTTATATTTTGTAGAACTTTCTTTTATTTGTTTATTTCTCTCTTGTAATTTAATACTTATGTTTTTTTTCTGTAAGATGAATAAAAAATCGGAGATATTTAATATTGGATAGCTTTTAGCTTTTTTTCGGAAGATAAAAAAGATACAAAGTTTCAGCGATTGCAGTTTATAATTGGTTAACAGATAAAAAATATCTTTAGCACTTTATTTGGGAATATGGAAGAACATCAAAAAGTTCCAAGCCCGTTTTTTAAAATTTTCTTGTACAAACACAAGTAGCGCTCATCCTTTGGATTCGCTGAGCCTTTTCTGAAAGAATTGTCCCAGTGCTGACCACATTCAAACACTTTGAAAGACAACTCAGGCGCAGCGATTGCTACTAATCCTCAACTGAACCATGCCACTATGTCACACACTAGAGTGAATAGAAGACAGAGATTGTTCTTTTTCAGGAACCGAACCGATTAGCCATTTGTCAGTGAGTAATTCTCGAGAAGTAACTGTGTTGACTGAAAACCCTATCCCTCAATGGCTAGTCGCTCGTCAACCTCCCTCCGGTCGGCCACTCACGACCAACCATTCACCTTTTCATCTGTTGTTCTATTTTCACATTTCTCGCATGAAAATTTTACACATTAGCCAGTCTCTTTTAGCAAAAAAATTGACTCTTTTCTCTGCTTTCAACAAAATAATGCATTCTTCAATATTTTCATTGAGGAATATACATTTGCCAAATCCTTTTCAAAAATCGTTGAAGCCTGATAAGAATATTCCAACTGTACACTTTAAGATTAATCTGAAATTAAACGCCTAGTCGTTTGTCGGCCTCTCTCCGGTCGGCCACTCACCGCTAGCCGTTGGTACCTAATAAGTGTTTAATGATATAGTCATATTAAAAAGTACTTTGTTCTTGTTGAGTCCGTCTCTAGCAAAGTTGCCGAAATTCTTCACAACTTCGTGACCTACAGTATATCTTTTATTATCATTCTTAGTTGAATGAGTTGATGATCTACATAGTTTTTTCTCGAAGCTCGAAAAGATGTCATATATATATCTTAGAAAAATTATGGAAACTTTGCGAGTCTTATTAATCTCACTTTTCAACGAATTTTCAAAAGAAACAACTAGTCGGCCGGCCACTCACGGCTAGCTGTTCCCATGCGTACTCATTTTACTATCTTAACTTCATTCGGACGAAGACGCGTTTCGAAAATGAGCACATTTCGGAAAATCAATTCATAATCAAAAACTTAGAAAGTTTACATAGCTACATGATTCTCTCCACCACGAGGAACCTGAAATAGCTGCTAGCTATGTTCGTGCAGAGCAACGATTAAGTTCTGCCCAAGAAACTTAAAGCTCTATCAAAATCACAAAGTTTGTTCTTAAAAATATTATTCTGGAAATCGACGACTAGTCGCTCGTCGGCCTCCCTCCGGTCGGCCACTCGCAGCTAGCCGTTACATGTACATTTTCACTCTGCCATTTAGTCTACAGCCACTTTTGAAAGTAATCCATTCATTCTCCTCTATTCCTTCTTTAAAAGTCACCCTCTTTGTGCTACTGTGACTGCCGAAGACAACACCTGACAAGCGAAAGATTATTTTGAATGACTGGCATCAAGTTATATTCGTATAGTATAGCTATTCATAAAAGTGTGTGATCTCATTAATATACTGATGACTATGGAGATCCAGCAATCGGACCTCACTCAGCTGTTACATTTTGTTCTAGATATTGCCACTTAAAACATTATCGTCTAAAAAATTGATCCTTTGTCGCAAAAAACGGGTCAGAAAGTGTTCATGAAAAAGTTAACACCGGATTCGACATCCTCGACCCCGATTACCCTTCGGTCAACCGTTACCGTGCATACTAATAATTTATGTCTAGTTGACAGTTAGTTAATTAATAGTTAATAATTAGTTAAATCTAACCTCAGATTCAAGTTCCCCGACCTCGATTACCCTACCGGTAATCATTTTCTAACAACGATCGATCAATTTCATTGATTTTAGAAATGCTGATTTCTGATTGGATAGGACAGACAGACAAACTTAAGCTTTTTAGCACAGCATTTAAACACTGTATTACCCTTTCTTTCAGAAAAGGGAACTATGAAAAATCCTGGAATTCCAGGAGGAATTGGAATCTGATCGATAAATCCTTCAAGTTTCCTCCACATTTCCTACATAATTTCCCTTAGTCTCCAAACTATCCACTGAACGCACCAACAACACCACGACAATACCTAGCTATGGGATCGACCAACTGACCAGATATAATCATCAATCCCTATCGAAGGAATTGACCCCCAAATATAGAAAATAACACTAACATGATTCAACCCTATTACAAATAACCATATACATACATAACCATATACCCATCCATCACGCACCTTAACCTCCACATCCCAATTCCCAAACTATTTCTAGCTTGGAACCAAGAAACAAACGTTATTATACATGCATCTTCAAAATATTTCAGTCAGAGACAGAATGAACAAAGCGATAACAGTCAGCAAACGTCTCATTTCTGCTGATAACTCCACGCGAATGAAGATGGTACCTTCGATGATTACTTGGAGGAATCGAGTGATTGATGTATGCATGAAGATATCATCGAGATATTTCGGGAAGAGAGTGACTGAAAAAATCGGTGGATATGAGCAATTGTTTCATCTTCATTCCCGTGGGATTATCAGCAGAAATGGAAGTGGGATTAAGTGTTGATGGTACATTATGTGATTAGTGTTGAGACTTAAGGTAATTATTGAGGAAGTGTGGGGGAGACGTGGAGGATATATCGATCGCATCCCAATTCTTCGTTTAATTTTAGGAGTTTTCATAGGTTGTAAAGCGAGTGTAAGAATTGATATTTCTCGGTCCTTGGACACCCCTCAAAGGCCTACTCATCTTGGCAAAAGAACTTGGTATTAAAATTCCATCTAATATACGATTAGAAGAGCTGAAAAAACTTCTAAATTCACAGGATGCATTCAAGAGCGTAAGCTTTCTATTAATAATAATCATTTTTTAAACCACTGATATGGTAATCTATTACGTTTGGTTTTAGATTTCAAAATTAGAGATGGTTGCTAATGACTATGGTGTAGCAGTTAGTTTCTCGCCGAAGTTCCATTGCGAGCGAAATCTTATAGAAGGATTATGGGCACACCAAAAACAATATGTTCGACGTCGAACAGACCAAACATTCCCCACCATGCTCAAATTAATTCAAAAATCAAGAATAAATTTCATTGCGATAGATGTTTCTTTGAAATTAATTAGGAGATTTTGGCGTACTTTAGCTGCTTACGAATGTGGTGATTCTTATGAAGATGTTCTCAAGATGTATTTCAGTTCAATGTGCAAAGCTAACGGCGTATCACGTCGTCAAATTACTAATTCCAACTTGAACGACTGATTCTATTGCTTAACATATTTATGCAGTGATCTGTTTCCTTTTTTTTGTTAAAATATATTTTATTATCACTATTCAGTGAATAAAATACGAAAACATCATTTCTTTCAAACTAATTGGATCTGCTATTACTAATATTTCTTTAAAGCTTAATTGAAAATATCACTTCAGAGTAAAGTCAAACATGTCTACGAATATTTGAAAAGTGGTTTGATATATTATCTAAATGACTAACATGAAGATCTGTATCATTATAAACATAAAATTTCATTAGAAAACAAAAAAATGTGAAAATGTTGGTAAACATAAAAAACACATGTATGACAGGAGACGTCGCGAAATATCAAGGAAATTTTGAAAAAGAAAGTAAGTTAAAGAAATATAATACGTAGATTATATCTAGGGCATCTAAGGAGTCGAACGGTGAAAGAAAACAGGCTATATCTTAATTAGAAAATGAGTTCATGCATTTTTAATGAGACTCACTCGACTAGTCGATTTGTGAACAGAAATAAATTTTGTTAATGGTAAAGATATGCACTGAGCGATCAAAAAGTAGTGTTCTAGGATTAGTTTTCAATACTAAATCAGAAGAAAAAACTTTCAAAGCTATAGTAAATTTTTTCGAAGCCCTATCGTCAAAATCCTGCCAGAAAACATGTTTCTTTGAAATCCTCGGTTTTTGCAGTATTTTTCGATTTTCACCGGGAATAAAATTTTTTATCTAAATAAATCATACATATTCGGATGCAGCACATCAAACTGCATCGGATTCCATAAAAAAATTCACAAAAGAAATTTCCTTGAGTTTTGCCTGAGATCAACCTTACACAACGTCATTCATCAAATGTGGTCGTATCATTAAAAGACATGACTGACACACTTATGCATCTTATGAGGAACAATCACAAGAGTCTATTAACGAATTATTGACAATTCACGACATAATATTATATATTATAGTTCTATTGGTAGCCATTATCTATTCTCTACTTTTGTATATATGGAGATATTTTCTAAACAAAGTATACAGACCTGTACGTCGCTTGAACAGTATTCTAGATAACATCTTCACTGTATAATTGTATACATCTAGTTTTTCTGTACTTGATTTTCTTCTGTAATACTATCAATGAAGATAAACGTTTTTTCAAAAATCAGCGCATATGATTTGTTTTCTTGCTATTATTGTCTTAAATTTATTCACAAAAGTCTTTGTCGGTTACACCCACGACACTCAATCGATAAATCTCGTCGAAATCTATCTTGCTCTAATATTGATCTAACTTTTAACCCTTTGACTACGGGATTTTTTTATAAGATTGACAAAAATTTTATTTTCTTCCGATCCAAGTTTTAAACAGGATTTAGAATATCAAAGAAAATAGGAGATCATATACGATTTCAATGAACTAACGGGTGTCACAAAATGAGTGGCCCTCTCAGTATTTTGCAAGTATCTCTCTCAAATTGTGACGTATATACTTTAGTTTTTTTTTCAAAAGATAGCCCATGAAATTCTCTACAAAACCCTTATGAAGAGAGTTCTTCCAACGAATAGTTATGGGGTTATGTCGGGTCAACATTTTAAGACTCCAAAGGAGCCAACTTTCAATGCATTCATTTTCATATTAACGATTTTGCGCCAGTTTGTCGACCCGACACAAACAGAATAAATAGGCTATTTTTTAGCCCTCGAAAAGCTCTATCAGTTTAGCGAATAAATTTTCGTCACATACGATGAATTTACTCGGAGAAGACCTTTTCCTTGTTCTCTTCTGTCCAAGTCATCTAAACCTTTCATTAAGGTTAATTACTTTTTAATTTTGTTCTGTGATATAGAAAACTATTATGCACTCAGATTTATTACAAAGTTGGAGAAAATGCTTTCTCTATCATTTCGATGCGCACAGAATGCTATAGTGTTTTTCTGCAACGCTTGAGGTGTATGTGAGGAACGATCGGTGGATTCGACGAATACTATGTTTTTGGTCGAACGACATTTGGTCGACGAAGTTTTGTCGAACGTCTTTTTTGTCGAAAGTTTTTTTCGTAGAAAAGCATTTCGTCGACACAATATTTTGTCGAATTATATATTGTAGAAAAACATTTCGTCGACAGAATATATTGTCGATAGCACATTTCGTCGAAGGATCATTCTATATTGNGCCTTCGATTGAATTAGTACCTCGATATACAATAATCTTCACAGACCTTTTCCATACAAAAAGACAGACACTCACTAGGAAATGATTTTTCGACATTGGCTCTCGTTCATCTCTCAGTTTTGAAATCAAAGTTGAGCATTACTGTCATTTTTCTTACTTCCCGGACGTTTCTAAATGATAACCACTGTCGAAATCGAACGGTAGTTTTCTAAGAGTGGTTATTTTGATTTTGCCATCTTCGAGCACGTCTGCCTATTCTTAACAGAACAATAAATGCTGTAAAATAAAATACGATTGCTAATAAAATTCAGATACAGATTCGCTAGATTTTTTTCATTCGTATATTACTGCTGAATAACTCTCGTCAATGCACACTCCCTTACTCCTCAATTGTTTTTCCTTTCGCCCCACTCATTACATAAGAAATTTTCGAGAGATACATCAGGCTGCTCGATACAGCGCATTGCAGATATAGTCTACATAAAGGGCATGCGTGTTTCTCTCCGATCTTTTACAAAAACAATTAAGCTACTTCGACACAATCATATATGAAGAAAGCTGCCTGCTGGAAACTGGCTTTCATTCATTAGAGATTATGAAAGCGAACTTGCACTGATACTCATCTATAGACTCACACACCCAAACTAAGTCATCTAAGATGTTGAATGATTAACTCACTGTTCCATGCATCCTATATATCCAATTTGGCAGCTTTACGCTGCGCAATACATCATTGCTCATTTTTACAATCTACCATAGTTATCGATTAGTTTTCTCGATCCTTCAATCCTATGCGTGAAGTTTCTGTTAATGTTGATCTAAGGCGCTTTCCTAACATCTTATTAACCTTTTGATTACGGATCACGCATATATGCGTTCTGAATTATCATACTTTAAAGCATTTTTAAACATTTATATATACTAATAAAATTTGTTTTGTACTTATTTCGAACCGAAAACTAAAAGACTTGTCTTTAAGAAAAACCCGTAACCAAAGGGTTAAAACGTTGTTCGGTCAACCTTTAACCCTTTCACTCCCGACGTTTTTTTTTACAAAATTTATGTCTGAAAAAACGTTGCTCAATCATTAGACATTATTTTAGGATCACTGGTTAAGTTTCAATCAAAAAGCTGTATTTCTCTATGAGTATGTGTGTATTCAGTTTATTGTTGGTACACAAAGTTTTGATGATACAAAGAAAAACATTTTTTCACGCAGAAACAAACACCACAAAAAATGCATATGACATTCGTTCTTTTCTCTTTTTCTTTCGTGCTACAATAAGCGCATCTACGATAAGTTGAAATAACATCTGGCAAATGAGCTAGCAACCGTACTTTTTCAGAATCTTCCGAACCACTGCTGCTTTTTCGATGCGGATCTTCTTCTGATTACTCCTTGCTAAAGGTCTTCCTATTCGTTTTCTACTACAATAGTCACCTATTAGTGCAGTGCTAACATATGATATATATTTTACTGTACTAATATTACTACTATCAGAATGATCTTTATAATAGACTAGAGGGAGTACCCGCTGCAAATAAAAAATATCTATGTCGAACATCTCACGTTTTGAAGAGCTATAACAGGTAGAAAATCAGTATAATTCAAATTTCTACGCTTCCAGTCCTTATTTTCTCGCCGTGCATCGCATAAAATGGCAGTTTCGGCTATATCTATTTATGCAAAAGAGTTACCGAAGCTAATTTCTGCCTCAGGAATTATAAAAATTTCCTCTTTCTCTCATATTCATTTTCCACTCCAGCTATTGATTCATCGAACCCTTTCTCACTCTCACGTCATTTCATACCTTATATCCTTCGAATTCACCCACCCTCACCATTTATCTTAATCTTTTCAGATCCTGTAACGCTATTGGTGAGTTTCGCAGATTATCTGTAGCATTCACCGAACTATCATAGGCGTAGAGAACATGTGGATTGTTGTCTTTGAGCGCTCAGACGGCCTTCGCTATTGATTTCACCCACTTTTGAAATCCTGCAATCCTATTGGTCAGTTTTATAGATTGCCTGTAGCAAACGGCTGGTTCCTTTGTTCTCGGGGAAAAGTAGATGTCGACCTTCCTCTGGGTCTCAGGAAGCAATTGTGGAAAGTTTCACGCCGATAGCTACTACAGGGTCTGAATGCATAGCGAACAAACAAACAAGCAAACAATCAGACAAACTTTCTTCTTTATATATATAGATAAATGAATTTACTAATGACATTCCAAGAAAATGAAAAAATATTCTCATCCAGTTTCTCCTTGACTTTCGATCAATTGTATAATACTTGATTTTTTGATCGGACAAATCCACCCCTCCCATGTACTTATTGTACTCACTGATTGCTAACGGACAAGAAATTTGCTTTTTACTACCATCTTTATGCCGTCGAGTAACTTCACTTGCTTCTTTAGGATCAATATAATTTGATGCGATTAGAACTTCTTTCTTATCCATCCATTTTATTACAGAAACTCCATTTGCTGATACATACCGGAAATTCCCGCTTTCTACTGTTCCATCGTNCACTGATTGCTAACGGACAAGAAATTTGCTTTTTACTACCATCTTTATGCCGTCGAGTAACTTCACTTGCTTCTTTAGGATCAATATAATTTGATGCGATTAGAACTTCTTTCTTATCCATCCATTTTATTACAGAAACTCCATTTGCTGATACATATCGGAAATTCCCTCTTTCTAATGTTTCATCTTTCTTCAGTTCAACTGGAAAGTATTTTCTATTGGATCGAATTGTACCGGTAGCTGATATCTTTTTTTTCTTAGCTTGTAAAGTAAAACGATGGAGATAAAATAGCTATCAAAAAATAATTGACGATTCTTCATATTTATTCCATCTATTAATGATAAAACTACATGCTCACCTAATGACAAATATCGTTCTACAGATTTCCCTGTATAAATTTCGAAGTTATACACATATCCCGTAGTCGATTCGACTGAGACCCATACCTTGTATCCTCTCTTCGTTGGTTTCATTGGCTGGTACTGTTTTATGGAGGATCTACCTTTAAACGTTATTATCGCCTCATCGATAGAAACACATGAACCAAGTTAATAGTTTTTCTGAAAATTTCTTTTCAACATATTAAGAAAGTCATTCACTTTATACAATTTGTTATAGTTAGAAGAGTTTTTCGATGGCATTTTCGAATTATCGGCTAGATGAATGTTGGAAAGAAGTCGTTGAAATTCATTTCTTGTCATTGTATCAGCAACGGCTGGTGTGAACATATTTCTGTCTTGACTCCAATAATCTTCGATCCTTGGTAACTTATGGAATCCCATTATCAATAAAATACCGAGAAATGCATGTATTTGGTTTTCATCGATTTGTTTCCAGTTTGTTTCATCTTCACCTTTTGCAACATAACGCTGCTTTCCATAAATGTTCGTCTGATCGACAATTAATTTGATCAGATCATGAGATATAAACTTGAAAAAGGAATCTATTGATTGAATTGATTCATCTGCAAGAGCATGTCCATCAGAATGGTTGAAATTGGTACCAAAGTTTGAGTTGTCAGGTTTCCAATCCCAATCTGTAATTGAAGATTGATCCAGTTCGTCAATTAATGATTCATTATCATCAGAACTACTATCATGAAATTCATGAGAACTAGGTCCACTTTCATTTTCATCGGAAAATCGATCGTCGGAATCTGAATCCATTATATTTCAAAAAAGTTTGGTTTTTTGAGAGTATTCAAAGCTCAAATATTATACTATGAGTTTTACTGGAGAATAGAGTTGCCCAATCATTGATATTTATGCATATAGTCGATATTATAGGGGTCGTTCTAGTATCACATAGTTTTAGTATTCTTCTATCACGACAATAACCGGTAGTACAAGTCTGTTCAGATATAAAATATGGATTGTTTAGGGAAAACTTCGTGAAATCTATGAAACACGGCTTAGTGCGCTATCAGATACGTAAGAATATCTATTAAACCCTTCACAAATGGTTCCTGAATAAAAAAGGATGCAAATATTACTTCGAGATCTTGGAAACTTCAAATAGTTTTGAAATTTTTTGAAAAGCATAAATTTTCACAAGGTGGGAAATATATATCCCACCGGGAGTGAAAGGGTTAAGCAAAGCTTTGCAAAAGAATAATGAAGTAGACGCAAGTTGTATGCTTCTTAAACATTTTGAGTTCGATCAAATGGTACCTGTAACACGAGCTCTTTTCTTGCCGACGACTTATACACGTTTAGCTCAAATATCTCCAATTAGCTGAAATTGAGGCGAATTACTTCTATCTCATCATCGTGTATTACGATAAGATAAACATCTTACTTATGCTTGTATATTTCTTTTCAAATAAGAATTCGATCGATGTTTTTTACATCTAGCTCAAGTAGAGGGAACTTACGCGTACGAATCTATCTCAATCTTGTCCAAGTGTTCTCGGCTGTATACATTTATTACAAGAATTAATAACAATCTTATACGAAGATACAAATTCTAATAATTATTCATCATTAGCACGTACAGCTTTTTTGACGAACTGCAAATTATATCGATGTTTCAAAAGTGATGTCCACTCTTGGAACTTCGAGTAAAATTCACAAAATATAATCGAAATTTTGGTTTTGATTGTGCGCAATTTGTTTCGTGACATCCATCTTTTTTGTGCTACTTTTACATCAAATTTTCTAGGACACTTACGAAAGAATCGTCGTACAACACGATGATAATAAACAGAGAAAGAATAGAAACGTATAGAACGAAAACACACGTAAAGCGTGGAATAAAAAAAGATGAGAATCATATTTGGTGGCGTAGAGAGTTTGAACAGTAAGATTGACGGTTTACAATCGATTATGTCTCTCTAGTCCTGTAGCATTTGTTTTACTTTTTTCAAATATGTTTTTGGCAATACACGAACTTTGCTTTTCGTAATAGGTTTGAGAAAGAAAAGCATTAAACAAAATTTTCAGTACAGTAATTTCCATTGATAGCAGCATCGTTTTGGTAACAAACATTGTTAAAATTAAATTGTGAATAAAGCGATGCCAACGAAGATTTAATAGCTGCATCAATCCAACCAGATCGATCGATATTATAAGCTTCACCGACTAAACTAATTTGAGTTTTAGCAAATCTTCCGATCGGCTTTAAAGCCCAATTCATAAGTTCTGTATTCGTAACATTACTATTCGATCTTTGAAAATGCCACGCACTAGGCCATATTTTTGTTAATGTTTTGATTGGTCTTGATATTTCAACATCAGTAAACAACCCTTTCAATCCTCGTAGCAATTCTTCAACCATATCGTCTTGTGAATTTCGAGCAATCAAGTCCGACCACATACCAACGCATAATCCATCATCATAAACTGTTTTGGTGACATTCATGTCTCTTTTAGCTGGATGTTGAGATAGTATTTCTATGAAACTTATACAATTTTGTCTTGTCCAAGCACGATCAATATATTTGCCGAATAAGATGCTATTTTCCCACCATCTATTTGACCAATAATTGACGATAATTATTGTTCTAACGGGTAAAATTGATTGAAAGTATTTCGTCGATTTAATTTCATTAGCAACTGTGCCTTGAACATTTGACCAACCAAGTGGAGGTATTGCTAAAATTAATTGTTTACATGTTATCTTATAATTCATTGTTTCCACGGAATAACTTTTATCGATATTTTCATTGATTTCTACCACAGGTTCATTTACATATAATCGAACCTGATTGAAATTGATCGCATTGTAAAGCATTCTTTTAACTATTTGTGATAAACCTTGATGTGGGTAATAAATCGGAGCGACGAGATTGAAATCTTGTTTGAGAAATTCCATATAAGAATAAACATCGGTGTTTAAGAAATCGGCTCGAAATCGAAATGAATCTCTTAAGTATTCTGTTGCCTCATCACCGAGAACATAACGACAAAATGCATTGACATCTGCATAGTTGTATGAACTTGCAGGATTCTTTCCGTATTCTTCTAATAACTTCACCCATAATTGATCTTGTGCATTCATACCACTGGAATCATCTGTACAATCTAAATTCGTATATGACTTTGAACACATTTCATTATATGACGTATAGAATTTTCCACGTGTTTTAATTAATGTAGTTTGATAATCATATTGATAGTAGGAGATATTCAATTCATCAATTAATTGTTTAACAACAGGTTGATTTGCATAAAATCTCATACCGCCGAAAGGTATTATTGGATTAGAAGAATAAGCTAATGGTATATTTTCATTATTGTCAAGATCATAAAGTCTTCCGCCGACATAATTTTCACGTTCAAAGATACATAAATTATTTTTAAAACGTGGACCTAATCGATAAGCAATATGAGATCCGGCTATACCAGCACCTAGTATAGCGACTGGACAATTCAATCTAGAAATTGAAACGATTATTCGCTGTCAAAATGGAAGATCTATACAACCTGATTTTATCTGTAATCAATGTATTGGTCGCATCGGCTAGAATTTAAAACAAAAACAATCTTAATCGATTTCAAATAATTCCACTGTATGCGTACGAGACAGTTTTTCTAATGAGCAGAATTCCAATTGAACTGACCTGATGATTGTCGGGTCAGTTATAGATGACATGATAATACTGAATTTCTTATATTCAAACTGAAGATTGTTTAGTAGTTTATTGACATATTTTTTCCATTGAGAGTTTGTGATTTGTTTTTGAGCGGGCCCGAGAGTAAACCGAAGATTAAGTGGTACACCAGAAAATAGCGAACCATCCGCACATTGTATTGAGACGAGGTTTCTAAAAAGAATCGTATAACGTTAGGTTGTTTTTTTCTTTCTGTTTTGAGAGGTTACGAACGATATATCTTTAGAAATAATAAAATCATAAGAAGTAATTAATAGATTAATTTGTCGTGGACGAAATAATTGTGCTAACTGAAAAATAATTAGATGATTATGTGCGTATTGGACAAATTTGTCGTATACTTGGGTATTCAATTCAGTTATATTCTTTATTTTAACTAGATTTTGACTCGATAAATCTGTTCTGTATGTGACTGATAAAACAACAATGTCTAATGTAATAGAAAACGTGGATAATAAAATAATGAAAAATCTCAAATTACTTTGATCGAAACTGGGAGAGATAGCATGATTTTGAAGATATGTCGGAATTAATGATATTATAAGAATAAATGTTATACCAGTAGCAGTTAATAAGGCTAAAGAAATACTACCCACCATTAACGGCATGACTTGTATCATGTGTCTAGAGAAAAAGATTTTAGTCCCTAATCGCGAATATTGCACTTTCAGCGGCTATATCATTCGCGATACAACTTGCATGATATCATCTAATCGTCATACTTCATTTCATTTTGCGTACCCTTTTCTCTCTGTATGCCTTCATCATATTCATTCTCTTTCCTTTCTCACGTGTCTTAGTCGAACATAAGCCTATACTCACAGCTAAATAATGGTTTAAAGAACCTCATCATCGTACATTTGCACAGATGACTATTGTATTATTAACGACATGCTGTTTTCAATATCTTATCACCGATCAGTCCTTGTCACTGTACGTATCTTTATACTTCTATGGTTTGATTGTTAATCTCCAAAACCTATCCGAATATTTTCAGTAACAAGCCTTAAGTCCTGATTTTTAATTTTATTTTTATTTTTATATTATACGTGTAGGTGGGGCTGGAGGTGTAAATGTTGTGTTTCATCTACATTCGCCACCACATTCTAAAACAACAGAAGACACGAAAAAACATTAACTATGCATAGCAGAAGAAAGAAAGGGGAAAATCCTATGTACGCAATAGTCAGCGGGCGAAGATCGGTAATGGATTCCATATGAGCATTCGCATTCACGTACTCTTACGCGACTTGCAACGGATATGTGTTTTGAAATACTGATGCGTCCNTATATTATACGTGTAGGTGGGGCTGGAGGTGTAAATGTTGTGTTTCATCTACATTCGCCACCACATTCTAAAACAACAGAAGACACGAAAAAACATTAACTATGCATAGCAGAAGAAAGAAAGGGGAAAATCCTATGTACGCAATAGTCAGCGGGCGAAGATCGGTAATGGATTCCATATGAGCATTCGCATCCACGTGCCCTTACGCGACTTGCAACGGATATGTGTTTTGCAATACCGATGCGGCTCCAGCTGAAACAACAGCTGTTCGACGCTTCAAAGGCTTCAGCATCCATGCTCTTAATTCAGGCAATAGGCCAACCGCGATCCAAGGAAGAGAAAACCATACGAGACTGGGGAAATATGTAATATAATTACGGCGGATAATGGCAAGAGCACTTGAATATTGTATTGATCGGATAGTGCCAATGACGACAACTGGAATCCAAGAGATTACATAGAGTCCTGACATAGTGAACAAATGAACTGCCATTCGTCGCTGTTGCTTCCATGGAAGTCTTTGATGTGCATGCAATTTTTGCATAAGAACTCGTATGAAAAGTATTGCGTCGGATGTGAAATTGACAACTGCAGGCATTCCGACATTGAATATCCAATTGTACATAGACAGAATTGGATTGAAGAAAAAACAGTTCATCAATCCGCAGGCATTACTTGTGTAATTCCATAGGGTGCCATCACATGGATAAAGTACAACGACAGCGAAATCAAATGTAGTTGGATAAATAATAGCGAAGAGCAATGGTAGATTGAATAACAGTATGCGCTGTCGACGAACTCTCATGACTGTTGAATTAAAAATGAGCATATGTCGTTGGACCGAGATAGTAGCCATAAGAAATTCACTGATAGCATTAAGTGAAAAGTTGCTGAAAGTCCAGAATGTACAGTAGGCGGGAGTAGCAGGACTTACGAAATTGAGGCGGAGATAATGAAGAGTCTGTGGTAAACTGAACAGCAATTGAAGAAAGTTCGGTATGAGTAGAATGAATAGAGATTGATTCTGAGGTGTGCGAAGTATGCTTCGATGACCGATAGTGAAGGCAAAGATAAGGACATAAAGCACGATAGCTTGTATTAGAAGAGAAAGTAGTAAAAAGAAAGTGCCGTGGTTCAAGCTGGCCTGATAGTCATCGAATATATTCGTAGCATTCATCGTTATAGTAGAGTAGCAAATAGTCTAACAGATTATTTGTGTTTGTACTGTAAGTTGGACAAGTATTTTTTTTTCTTTTTTAAGTATATATGCTCGTTCTCTGGTGAAATATCTCACAAATGTGTCCTCTTCATTCGAACGTATATGCTTCTCGTCGGCAACACTTTTATTTCTTTTTTTCTGTAAGAATGACTAGAATCTTCCTCTCAGGTGACTGGATGACATAGGCAAAACTTTGACAGTTAAGAAAAAATACATTACTTAAACGATTAATATGCAATGTACAAGTCGTCGCACAAATATCTGACAGTATTAAGTCGCATTACCAATCTCTGAACTAATGAATTTTTTTTGTTATTGAAGAGAGCAAAGTCTGAAGTTCAAGTTTTGTACAAAAAATATATATTTCGAGACCGAATTCTATAGGTGAAAAAGATCGAAAACAAAACATTTCTAAGGAAAGAAATACATCGTATTATAACGCGTCAAAAATTCTGTTAGCACGACTCGCAGGTATCGACAGATCTTAGAAAGTGAAGTTTCGCTAAAAGAGAGTTTATCCGGAAGTTTACCGATCTGCAACAATGTCAGATGATAGATACTTCGCAGAAAGAAAACACCATTCAGTGTCCTTGCACAACTGAAAACGGGTAGAGTGAAGTGGCAACAACTTTCTTAAAGATGTTTGATTTTCGACCTTTTTCAACCAAAATTCACTTAACTAATTAAGAAGCTTGACAATGCGGCTTAATGCTGTCAAGTATTTCTGCAAATACTTTTGCGTCGCACATCATATGAAAAGATGTGTGTCGAACGCTTTTATAATCTAAGCATTGCACAACTGCTTATCTGATCTTTCTTTTGTACTGGAAGAACTACTTCCATACAGTTGATCTACGAACAGCTTACAAAACATTTTTCTGGCAAGGTTAAAATTTGCTAATCTTGATCGTGTCGCATGGAAATTGTTGTTTAGTTTAGTCTGGGAACATAAACTAATTCCCTGTTTTATCGTCAAGAGCATCTCGTAAAATTTTTAACTTTTACCATTTAATAGAGCACAAAAGTTTATCTTTATCGAGTGTTTTTCCGAACAGTATTTGCTATGGGATCTATTGCCGAGTAGTATTTAAAAACTGATCTTCTCTCGTAAGATGACATTACTTATAGAACGTAAACGAGTAGCGTAACACTTTCTGAGGATTCTATCTATAGCATCTTTGACTTATGATTGTTTTTTCTTGCATGGTTGATGGATGAAAGCGTTTCTTCTTATTCTAAACGAAAATCCTTTTTTTTCGAAAAAATTCAAATCCTTTTTAGCGTAAGTGATCGTTTTAACGAGTTACTACGCTCTACTTACGCCTCACTGTTTGATAAGATAATGTAATTATATAAGTAACGAGGGAGCGTTCTTAGGTGTGTTTTTCGGTAAATTTGAACCTTCGTTTCGACTCTAGACATCCGCTCACGTTGTCATATGTTTGAGATAGATGATATGAAATGTACTACATCTGACAGATTCATCACTATTTGTTTTGATAGTCAAGAAAGATTTTACGTTCGACAAAAAGAACATTATGAATTTCTTTCTTCTATATATTTCTCAAATACAATAAAAAAACACGCTTATAAACAAATGGGTCCAAACTGAGGATACGCAAATGAACATTGCATAGTTGGAAAACAACAGTCTTCATTTTTAAGGCAAGGCTGAGCGTGTCCACTACATGGGCAGATAAATTCGTGTCCATTTGCCTTGGCCGGTTGAACACAACACTCTGATGGTGATCCAACCGTTTGATTTGCTGAGTAACAGCATGTTTTCGAACTTACACGGCAAATTTGTCCCGAACAGCAAATATCGGTCGAATTATTACATATTTCATTTGCTTGTCGACATGGTCTTTCAGTACACTTTTCATCACAACATAAGCCACTGCAGCACTCCTTTGATAGTTTACATGCTGATTGCGTTTTTAAACATCTGATCTTAATGAAGAGATCATTTGGCAAGCATTGAACGACAAGAACAACCGAGAGAAGGATTGATGAGATAACAACGAATTTAAACATTTTGTAAATATGATCAAATAGTAATAATATTCGGTTGTTTATATAGATCACGGCAGGGTTTCTATTTTAACATTTACCTTCATGACGAATATATGAAGCGTAAATCAATCTATTGACGTCAATCTGAATATTGCGTTATCTATTTGACGTCGATATTTCATGACAACTCAAAAATGGCTTTTGTCACGATTAAAGAACTATGTTATTGGAAGATGTTTCATATGAGTCATTTTGTAGGAGTTCCGAAGTCTTTGTCTGCATGTGTCAGCCATTGATGAAGCATTCTCATCGCTCGAAATATAGCGTAGAAATCAACGGGAACGAATACTATTCATTAAAACAATCACTTTTGAAGATAAAATTTCACACACAATATTGAGTGAATAATTTCTTTTTATTTGTATCACTCATACCCATGTTGTCATCTATATTGAAGAACAAGTTTTTTTTTAATTTCCAGATGTTGCTATGGATCTTGATGAGCACCACGAATAATTTTCCAAGCTTCAATTAGATCTTGACCATTTTCTTTATTCATTACACTCTGGGCTTCATTGTTCGCGAGAGTACGTATTTTCTTCGATTCTGCCGAGTGCCAAAATTGAGCTGCAAGAGAATATATCGATTGATCTGTTAAAAATACATTGCAACTTACTTATTTCATCGTCTGGAACTATCGGTGTCACCTTCTTTATAAGTAGAATGCATACCGCCATTACACAAATACTGACAATATTGATTAAGGTAATAATAAACGAGTATACAGCCAACTGTGCTGCTTCTTGTGGCATGTCACACGAATAGAGAGGTACATATTTATTGTCGACGAATTCTGTGCAATTGACAAAGCTACGAAGAGAATTAAATGTTGTTGCATTCGATGGTTTTGAAAGATGACGACCGATGTTTGATCGGGAAAAAGATAGAAGACTGTAACTAAATAATAAGCCCGTGTTGACAGCCGGCGGAAGAAGAGAAGCACTGATCGCTACTCCAACCAACGAACCAAAGTTGCCGCCTAGAACGGATAGAGCTGCTGCAGCACCCTACAAATAAGNATAAGATAGTGTAATTATATAAGTAACGAGGGAGTATTCTTAGGTCGGCTTTTCGGTGAATTCGAACCTTCGCTGCGACTTGGGACATCCACTCACGCTGTCATATGTTTGAGATAGATGGTATGAAACGTAGTACATCTGACAGGTTCATCACTATTTGTTTCGATACTCAAGAAAGATTTTACGATCGAAATAAAGAACATTATGAATTTCTTTCTTCTGTATATTTCTCAAATACAATAAAAAAAAACGCACTTATAAACAAATGGGTCCAAACTGAGGATACGCAAATGAACATTGCATAGTTGAAAAACAACAGTCTTCATTTTTAAGGCAAGGCTGAGCGTGTCCACTACACGGGCAGATAAATTCGCGCCCAGTTGCCTTTGCCGGTTGAACACAACACTCTGATGGTGATCCAACCGTTTGATTTGCTGAGTGACAGCATGTTTTCGAACTTACACGACAAATTTGCCCCGAACAGCAAATATCGGTCGAATTATTGCATATTTCATTTGCTTGTCGACATGGCCTTTCAGTACACTTTTCATCACAACATAAGCCACTGCAGCACTCCTTTGATACTTTACATGCTGATTGCGTTTTTAAACATCTGATCTTAATTGAGAGATCATTTGGTAAGCATTGAACGACAAGGACAACCGAGAGAATGATTGATGAGATAACAACGAATTTAAACATTTTGTAAATATGATCAAATAGTAATAATATTCGGTCGTTTATATAGATCACGACGGGGTTTCTATTTTAACATTTACCTTCATGACAAATATATGAAGCGTAAATCAATCTATTGACGTCAATCTGAATATTGTGTTATCTATTTGACGTCGATATTTCATGACAACTCAAAAATAGCTTTCGTCATGATCAAAGAAGTGAGTTATTGGAAGATGTTTCATATGAATCGTCTTGTAGGAGTTCTGAAGTCTTTTTCTGCATGTGTCGGATATTGATGAAGCCTTCTCATCGCTCGAAATAAAGCTTAGAAATCAACGGAAACGAATACTATTCATTAAAACAGTTACTTTTGAAGATAAGATTTCACTCATATTCATGTTGTCATCTATATTGAAGAATAAGTTTGTTTTTAATTTCCAGATGCTGCTATGGATCTTGATGAGCATCACGAATGATTTTCCAAGCTTCAATCAGGTCTTGACCATTTTCTTTACCCGTTACACTCTGGACTTCATTGTTCGCGAGAGTACGTATTTTCTTCGATTCTGCCGAGTGCCAAAATTGAGCTGCAAGACAATATATCGATTGATCTGTTAAAAATACATTCCAACTTACTTATTTCATCGTCTGGAACTATCGGTGCCACCTTCTTTATAAGTAGAATGCATACTGCCATCACACAAATACTGACAATATTGATTAAGGTAATAATAAACGAGTATACAGCCAACTGTGCTGCTTCTTGTGGCATATCACACGAATAGAGAGGTACATATTTATTGTCGACGAATTCTGTGCAATTGACAAAGCTAGGAAGCGAATTGAATGTTGTTGCATTCGATGGTTTTGAAAGATGGCGGCCGATGTTTGATCGAGAAAAAGATAAAAGACTGTAGCTAAATAATAAGCCCGTGTTGACAGCCGGCGGAAGAAGAGAAGCACTGATCGCTACTCCAACCAACGAACCAAAGTTGCCGCCTAGAACGGATAGAGCTGCTGCAGCACCCTACAAATAAGCAATCGTAGTGCTTTGCGCTTTTCCTAGGTTAAACCTACACTGGCTATCGCAACCAAAGCACCAAACCATAAACGTCGATAATCACCTCTAAAGAGCACATCTTATTATTCTATCATCACTTCATTAGAGTAATCCAGTTTTACCGCGAGCGCATTTCATCGGTCGGAAACGAATCACTACCACCCCATTTAGTTTCGGACCAAGTGCTGCACAATCCAAAAATAAATCCCGTTAGTATACCGATTAAGATTCCATAGCATTCAGACTTCAGTCCAGCCGACCATAATTTTTTGTCACGAGTGCGCATACCGATGACAAAACCCATTATAGGACCCTATCAAAAAGCAGGATAGATGAATAACGAACCTGAAGTCATTCATACCATCAATGGCGAAAGCAGTGCGCTCCATACTAAAACTCTAAGATAAATACTATTGGTAAGAGTTGAATAGAAATTAAACTTACACCGTGTTATTTTCCAACAGACCCAAGCATGCAAGTACCGAAGCCAATATACAAAAGAAGAAATAATCAAATGTAAATGAACTTTGACGTCGAATGACTCCAAGAACTTTGTGTACAGTTAACCGAGCCCGGATACTCTTCAGGAATGGATAAAACAGTCCATGATTGATCGACAAGGGTGTTTTAGGTAAATTATTCTCATGGGATTGTTCGTCCACGGCATCTGCAGATGTACTATTCGGTAAAGTTTTTTGTTTGTCCACAATTTTTTGTATGCCCAAAGCACAACTCAATGGGATGACAAAAACTTTTGATCCCTCACGAATACCAATTTCTGCGCGACGTAACTCATCGAGAATACCATCAGACTGAGGACCCAGTTCAGTGTAACAAATGACCAAAAAGCTTCTATTACTATCTGTAGGAATCCAAATAGTATCCCGTAGTTTCAATTTCGGAATTGTATGATAACGTAACCGACTGGCTAAGGATTGTTCACATTCAGGACATGGATATTCTTCTGTGTGTTGTACATTATTAGTAGTGTTTCGCTCGTGATCATTCTCTTCAGTAGGTAGATCATTTGGAATGACAATAATGCAAACTTCTTCACCAGACATTACTTCTATAATAGAAATGTGAATTATTCGCATGTAATAAGAAGGAAAAAATGTACTTGTTATTCTCTTCCTGCACTCTGTGTATGCCTGCGTTTTTTTTTCTTTCATGCGTTCGACAGAACAGAAGGAAATAAATTGCAAAATGGACGCACTGAATGATCGATTATATAAAACTTACATAATCACCTACTGCAGTTTCCTTGTGAAGTGTCAAATTGAAGACCAAGTTTGCTCTTGAACATAAGAATATGACAAAAAAAAAGAATCTGAAAGATGAAATCTATAAATATATAAAATTTTTTCTTCCTCCTCGCACTCGGCGTCTTTTAACCCTGCTTTATTAACGTCAAAGAACAGAACGAAAGAACTACAAGTAAAAAGAAAGGTGAAAAACAGTAATAATTTGCATCTCTTTAGTTTTGATATTGCTTTCAATCATTTGATTCGGATACTTTATTACAAACAGAAACTTTTCTTGATTCACAGTAATCGTTGTTTCTACTTACTTCAGTTTGTTTTCATCTATCATCATTAATAATTTTTGTCTTGCTCGTGGAAAAGTTATGAGTATGACAAAGCTATAGAAACGCGTAGTTCATATATATTCATTCGTGTCGCAGCATCTGAGTTCACATGTGAACATACTTGACTATACACGTCAAGCAAATTGACCCGAGAAATGAATGTGAGTCATCCAGCTGCGAACATTCTTACACTTAGCGATCGAATATTACTTAATATTCTCAACAGATTCGAAAATATAGTGGTTCGACGTATGATTCTCACATAATCTCTGGATATCATACCTCGTATTGAACACTATATTAAATGTTTTATTTTTGATCTGCCCTCGATCAATCGTGTTCTTCGTACACTCAGTCTTGTCAATGTTAACGAATTATTCATGCTTTTCAAAAACGAATTGCACATCTCGATGGATTTGTAGTAATATTCATGGGATATTTACAGATATAAGATGTCTCCAATTGAATTTTTAAGATGAGAATTCTTATTTGCCGATTTGAGCTGTACATTTCCCATTATCAGCATGCCACTCATTCCATATTGCTTGTTGAAATATAACAACACTCGATTTTGATATTTGTTTTTATTTACTTGATGGGCGACTCAGGCAAGTGGGTACACTCATTGCTGACCCAGATCAACAAATCCGATAAAATCATATATTGGATCCGATCGAATCCTACTACGGGATTGAGCGATCTGGGCATTCGCAAATAAGGTGTCTCATTGATATTTTTTATTTCTCTAAATCAGAGTAGATAAGAACTTGTTAGTTTAGTCATTAAAATACAAATTATTATTAGTATTTTTGTTTTTTTAAAGAAATGAAATTACCGGATTGTGTTGATGCCATCGTATTGAAATTTCTTGGTAGAGTAAAAACAAAATTAAAGGCTAAGAATAAAATTACTATAGAAACTATGCAAGCAATAAAATACAAAATATAGATTTATCATTTTTCGAAGAATACTCACCATATATGTGGTTCTTAGACATATAGTATATGTCTCGCGCAAATCAAGGTAACGAAAAATGAATAGATTCTTGTCGACAACTACTTTATATACATCCATTATTTTTAAAAGAACAGAAAAGTTAAGTATTATTATTTTTAAAACAAAAGGGTGGGTGTGAGGTATAGGTATAAGTGAAACTAAATCGATTCCTATTCCTATGTAGATAGGGATTGTAGTGTGCTAGGAATTGGCCAGCTATTCTCTTTTTCAAAACATTTCAATTCACGAGAAATATAGATGAAAAAAATCGAGCTAAGAAATAGTATTTTAGCGGAGGACCAATGATAATCAGCTTTTTTCAAGGAAAAATCGACTTTCCTGGAAACAAAAGGACTGACAGTTGGGAAACTATGTGGAATACATATCACTATTAGAACTCAATCAAGTGTGCTATTAAAGTTTTCTTTATATCTACTTTTATGTTTTTCGATGTTTTTTTTGAAAATGGTACAACGGTAGCGCAAATCACTCATATATGGATGGTTTTTTTTTAACAAAATAAAAGTGAGAACGATTATTCATTTTTCATTCTTATCCAGAGGATAGGAGTGTTTCTGATAAATACAATGCAAAGAAGAGAAACAGAAAAGTATAACATTTTAAAGTTATCTAGTTTTTATTTTTCGATCTCAACACATTTGCGATAAAGTTACAAGGTTTTATTTACTATTCTGGTCGAAAAGGTAAACTGCCACCGGAAACTCCAGCCCAATCAACGTACTCACACCAATCCATATTGCATATTTCCAAATTTGCATTACATTCCCATGCCCTAGATGGATCACTTCGAATGGTTTGACAATGTTCATCAGATTTATCAGGTTTAATACGTAACAACACAGCTGATCCATCTCTTGAACTAGTCTCATCGAATATAACCAATAACTCTCCCAGATGTTCACTGAACGTGTTTTTCTTTAGCCATTCATAGGCTTCTATAGGCGGCAATTGATTGACTTGTTCTTTGCTTCCCATTTGAACAAACTCATAATAGTTATCAGAGGAAGATTTTAAACGAGCTTGAAAACAATCGAATTCCTCATCAGTATCTTTTCCCCAAAAAGTGCGAATCAAGAAAATGTTGTTCTGTTGCATTCTTTTTGTGCTTTATCGTAACTTACGCTGCACACCAATACAAAATGTTAAGAATGATAATATTTTCTACAAGCAAACACAAACAAATTAAATTGTAATTACTATAAGAATATTTACAAATGAGTATAATTATATGCGTATCATATCTACCAATATTTATCATATTTTTTGTTTCATATTAGTACCAATAACAAAAAGTACAACTAGCTGACTCGTCCCAAAAAATGTAATATACAACTTACTGTACAGATTTAGTTTAAAAAATTCGATTTATTTCATTTCTTATTTTCAATCTACTTCTCCGTATCGCTGCAGAAAGAAGAGAGTGATATATGGGCACGGCCAAGCGTTACGGAATTTCATTATTTTGACTTGTGAGATACATATCTCTTGAATACTAAAAGATATATCTGTGAAAGTTTAGGTGTATACGAGTATCAAGTAAGTCTACCTTCACTGAAAATTTCACCGAGTTACTTCGAATCATAGCGAAGTTATTTGAAAAATATGACTCGTTACGGAATTTCAAAATATGGACAAAATTTTTAGACGTGGCTCATATTGAAGAATTTTTCTACGAAACGAAGCTGCTCATAAAGAAACGTTCTGTATGAAAGTTGTCCAGTTTTTCACAGGCTTTCAGAATATGATGTCGGTTTTTCTGTATGATAAACGCTTTAAGCAAGGCAACTTAAAATACTGATCGTTACGGAATTTCAAATGTTACGGAATTTCACCTTTTTTTTACAGTTTGAATACAGGAGGATTCGTAGACTGAATTTTCGATTAAGAACTTCATGAAACCAGGGATTTTCGTTCAAAGATAGTATTGAAATGTTTTATTCTATAGCCTAATTTAAGTTTCGTTACCATAAAAAATTCCTATAAATATAAGTTATAATCACATAAATACAATATCAACAGAGATGTATACATTAAAAATTTACTATTGTTTTTTTATCACTATGAGAATAGATTTTACATTCAATTCGATCAATGTCTATGACATTCATTGAATGTACTTTTTGGATATTTGGTACTGGTTTCGCTTGGTTGAAAATTAATTCAAGATCATCACGACTATCATCAATTTCATTTGGTGATAGTTCATCAATTAAAAATAAAGTTTTTTTTTGTTCAATCAGACGTAAAAAGTCCTTAGCATTTCGGCACCGTTTGCCACTCATTACGTCTTCATATACCATTCGTTTAACTGATCCTCCAATACCATCCACCACTCCAATATCAAAATAAACGACTAATCTTTTTAAACTATTACGCGTCACTAATATTATTCTTTGTCAACATAGAATGTCGTCGCCAGAAGCTTGATCTATTCTCAAAATCTCTTCGATACATCTTCTTTAGTCTTACTCACCTTTGCCGTGATGACTCGCAAAGAAATTCCATGATAATTTAAGCGAAAATCGATCAGCCAAATACGTTAAATTTTTGAACAAGAATCGTTGTTTAAATTGTGATGCACTACCATCACTAAAAATTGTTAATTCCTTCATCGAAGGCAATAATATTGTTAAACGATTGATTAGTTTTTCGAGGCATTTTCCTACAGTGTATTTGTCGTGTGAACAATTATCAGATATAATTACTAATGGATATGTACTTGATTGAGACCAAACATGTGCCGTAAAAAGTGATAATTGCTTACGGCTCCAATGAGCACTTTGTATCTCATTTTGTTCAATAATAGAATAATTTTCTGAATAATCAACTTGAAGTAAACACTTTTCATCGGTAACATTTTTTTTTGAACATTTCAAAAAAGTTCGATTGTTGTCGTTTAATAAAGACATGAAATAAAAAAGGATTAATTTTCGTTTGTAAAACATTGACACAGTTTTGAACAGTTCCATCATAATCAACTTTAACGGTTCGATTTTCTTTTGTTGTTGACCATAAAGACCATTTAATAATTGCAGATGGGTCAATAATTTGATCTTGAATTTTTATTTTGAAATTATCAGAACATCGACTACAATCCTTGAACATACATAATTCTTTGGTATCATCGCATACTAATAATTTAACAAATGAATGCAAATCAATTGATTTGAGACCATGGACACGTTCATTAATTGCCTGTAAAAGAAGGCATATATTTTCATGATGAATACATAAACAAAGATTGTGTGGTGTTTCTGATTTATATAAAACATTGCACGGTCGTAAACTTTTGAAACTTGAACAACCAATAGCAATTTGCGGATTTTCTTCTATAAATAATTGATAAATTTCATTTAATGAATATAATAGGTAACGTTTTTGTAATTTTTTCTTTTCACCATTTTCTTTAATTGTAATTGAATCTTTTTTACCAGGTGCTTGGTAGCTACCCAGGTCGAACAATCCCATACTCGGATCCCACCGGATCCCATCGGATCCAATACTGAATTTTACCGGATCCTACAGGAATTCGACGGATCCGATGCAATCCTGGTGACGGAATCGCATTGGATTCCGACGGTCTCGGATCCGATCGGATCCCACGTCGGATCTCGTCGGAACCGAAACATGGATTTCCTGGATTTTCTAAGGGTCATCATAGAAAATAGNGTCTGTACGAATCCAAATGCTATCTCGTAGTTTCAACTTCGGAATCGTATGATAACGTAACCGACTGGCTAAGGATTGTTCACATTCAGGACATGGATATTCTTCTGTGTGTTGTACATTATTAGTAGTGTTTCCCTCGTGACCATTCTCTTCAGTAGGTAGATCATTTGGAATGACAATAATGCAAACTTCTTCACCAGACATTACTTCTATATAGAAATGTGAATTACTCGCATATAATAAGAAGGAAAGAATGTACTTGTTATTCTCTTCCTGCACTCTGTGTATGCCTGCGTTTTTTTTCTTTCATACGTTCGACAGAACAGAAGGAAATAAATTGCAAAAAGGACGCACTGAATGATCGATTATATAAAATTTACACGATCACCTACTGCAGTTTCCTTATGAAGTTTCAAATTGAAGACCAAGTTTGCTCTTGAACATAAGAATATGACAAAAAAAAGAATCTGAAAGATGAGATCTATAAATATAGAAATTTTTTCTTTCTCCTCGTACTCGGAGTCTTTTAGCCTTGCTTTATTAACGTTAAAGAACAGAACGAAAGAACTACAAGTAGAAAAAAGGTGAAAAACAGTAATAATTTGCATCTCTTTAGTTTGGATACTGTTTTCAATCATTTGATTCGGATGCTTTATTACAAACAGAGGTACAACTGCAGTTTAGCCACACCGTCTTGTCCAAGAATAACAGAACAGGAAAACATTCATTCGCTTATCATTCTGATCTATGACTAGGAGGTAGAGATATATTACAAATAGATGTCATAGAAGAAGAAGACAAATCAATCAATTAAAAGATAATCCGCTCTATTCATCACCGTGTTCTGAAATTTGAAAAAGTTAATTCTTTTGATGTAAAGATAAAAATAGAAAAATAATAATCTAATCTTTTGGAAACAAAGCTAATTATTGAATAAATGATACAGATAAATATAAAAAGCTAACATGTTCCTTGCATTTTTCACCATACAATTTGAGAATGAATATTCCTATCAACACTCATATAACTCTCGACGATCTTGGATCATTAAATAATAGAAAACTTCACATGTTGACATCATCAAATGAGTTCCCTAGGCACCATCATCCACTCAGACGAATGGAAAGCTTATACAGCTTTACGAAATAATACAAACTTCTACGGACATCGAGCAGTTAATCACACAGTTCACTTTGTGGACCCAGCGACACACGTACATACGCAGTTGATCGAAAATACATGGATGCGTATCAAAATGAAACAAAAAAACAATGTGGACTTGCGAGAACTCTGTTACCTACATGTCTCGAGGAATTTGTTTGGAGGCAGGACTTCGGCGATAAGTCGTTTCAAAATATAGTAACGCAAATAACAGAAAATTATCCTGTACTTTGATTGTTACATATGTAATTTTTTCAATTTCCTGTTCTGTTATTCTTGGACACAACGGTGTGACTAAACTGCAGTTGGGTACTTCTTCAGATTGACAACACCCTCATTTGATTGGTGAACTTTATGCGAGGAAAGAAACGAAAACTTATTGGCTTATCCGCTTAATAGATAGAATGATCGATAGAGAGAGAGGGCGCTTGATTATAATCTAAAGAAGTAATGATCTATGGAAGGATCAGTTAAATATATTTAAATGAGATTATCGATCATTTAATTAATAATGTTATATAAATAACAGTCCCTGACAGTAGCGGATTTCATTCACAATAACTTATTCTCCTATTCCAGCTCTTGATGATTCTTCTGTTCGTGAATGGAATAATCTAAGCAATGATTCATAGTAATTGGTATTTAGGATCATGTTCAAAGTCGATTGATAAATGCAAATGGCGCTGTCGAGTATGTAAGTCGTCTCGTTCTCTACGTAAAGATACTTTTTTTGAGCATAGTAAACTTACAATACAACAAATACTAGACCTCATGTTGTATTGGTGTCATGGTCTAGACTCACATAAATTTATTAGACGTAACATTCAAATATTAGGTGATGCTACGATAGTCGATTGGAAAAATTTTATTCGAGATTGATGCGGTGAGTAT